TGGTCCCTCCCTTCCATTGGGTGTACACCTCCCTTTTAGGCTTACCAGAAAATTAATGCTGCTTATTTAAAAGAGCTTCTCAAATATTAGTTCTTCCAGGTGGCAAAAAAATACATTTTCTGAAAAGGACACCCTTTTTTCAGACATCGTGATTTAGTATGAAACAGGAAACCATGTCACTTCACTACTGCAAACCAGAGTGCCACAGCACATCGAAATTGTATGGAAAGTGACTTTGGAAAGAAAGCAGCTGCTGCTAGCCCTCCTTTCCTTTGCAGAGTAGTAGAAGCAAGATAGCAAAAATACTCCCACCGATCTGCTGAGGAAAAAAGGCCTGGCAGCATCTGCTTCCCTTTAAAGTACTAGTTAAGATGGCTGTGTTAGGGAAGTATTTGTGAATGATACCAACTGAAGGTCTACTATAACTAAAAAACTTAGAGGAAAGCAAAAATATAGAAACAAAACCTTGGTTTTAAAATATTGTAAAACCTGAAGAATGGATGTATAAAAATGGGATGAAGAGGGTGGATGGTCCTACTGGGGAAGGTTTGGAGGAGGTAAAAAAACAAAAAAATAAAGGTTTGAAGCTGTTTTTAACCAACTGAATTGCCCAGCCAAATTGTATCTGTTAACCTTCAGAACTCCCTGTTCTGGGCAAGTCCCTCTACCAACCGTAGAATAAGATGCATTGATCTTTATTGCTCTCTTAATTAACAGTCTTTTATTAGTCTGTTCTCAGAAACCTGTAAAACATTCCATTTTTGTACCAAACCAAAAAAATAAACAGCTATTAAAAGTAATGAAATTGGTTCTACCATCTGGATATGTAATTTAATAATTTTCTGTCAACTTTATTATCCCTTTGCTTTCTCACTGTTTGCAAACTTACTTTTGTGTCTTGTATATAACAAGGTTGGACATTTTTAAGCATGCGAACAATTTTGTCCATCGCCTAGCTCCGTTATGGGGAGTTAGTAAATAAATACAAACTCAAATGTTCAGCTCGTTCTCATGTGCTCACTTGCACTCTTGCTCTCACATTTGCACTGTGGTACTGCTGTCTGATATACTTGCTTCCGTATGCCTTCTTTAACTGTTAGTTATGTTGCTCTTAAGTCTTTCAGGATCCCCAGTAATAAAAGCTTTTATTCAAAATGAAAGCAGACTCATTAAAAATGCAGCAGTACAAACCATTTTAAAATATAAGGAAAACAATCTAATTGACAACTTGATATTAGTTCTTTACAATCATAATTTTTGTGTGGTTGGATTTAATCTTTTGAAAAACTGAAGTCAGCTTTACATCCAAAATCATGCTTGGAATCACTAGGATAATATTTCACAAGGCGATGCAGCTCTTTCTGGATAGCCTTTTCCATAGGTAAGCTTTAAATAACCATTTTTTCACTCTTGGAGAAAGTTGACTACAGTAGGGCTGTGTAAAAGTTTCAGCAATGCTTAGAAATTCATGTTCAGAATTTTCTCAAAAGATTAAATTCTATAAACATGGAAAAATATTTGAGAATAGTTTACTTCAGCACATGCTGCCATTTTTAATTTTTTGTTCCGTTGAATTAAGTTTGTTTTAGAACATGTGAAACAGCTTGCATGGCTTAATACAAAATCTGCTGTTAGCAAAAAGTTGCATTTTTAGTCTTTCACTTCTTCTACTTTCATCCTTTTAGTATATTTTTTTTCCAAGGTGAGTATAAGGTATATATGTTGGATACAATACTTTTTCAGTTTCTGTAAGGAGTATAATAGTTATGAGTTTCAGAGCACTATGCATGTATGAAGTCATTAACATTGTTTCTTTTTCTTGCAGCAAAATGAGAAGGAAAACTTGCTAAAGGAGAGAGATCGTATTTTGTCAACCTTGGGCGAGACTAAGCAGAATCTAACTGGACTTTGTCAGCAAATGTGTAAGGAAGCAGCACTGAGTCACGAGCAAATACAAATACTTGCCAAGTATTCCTCTACAGATTGTCCGCTTTCATTTTTAATCCCCGAGAGAGAGAGAACAGCTCCTTCTGATAGTGAGCTGGTGATACCATCATGTATCGAATTGCCAGATGGTCTTTCAAGTGTTGTGTCAGCCAGCGAACAGAGTTCTTGCTATCAGCATTTAAGAGGAATATGCAATGCAGCTTATGGTCAAGTACAGGAACTATGTCCAGTTGCTGTAAGAACATCTGAGAAAACTTCACATGCAGAACAGTGTGGACAGGGAGGTAGTGGTATCACAGACTTCTGTCAGCAAATGACTGACAAATGCACTACAGATGAGTAAATCTGTTTTCTTCCTATTGCCAACCTCTCAACTTTGAGTGAGGGTTTCAGTATTCTGATAAAGTGAGTGGAAAAAAGAAACTTTATATTTTGCATTTGTATTATCTAGTACCATTTACATTATTTACACGGTGCTTCAAAACCATATCTACATAGAGGGGCCTAAGAAATTCAAGGTAAATAAACCAAAGTTGTGAACTCAAAGCTCAGAGGTTGGCATGTGATAAACCCCCTTTGTGGAGGTTTCAATTCAGTGGTCTTAGAGTTCTGTAGTAGTTTAATTCAGAACCAATTTAATGTATTGGTTTTTAACACGTGCACTGATGTCTGTGCTTTAAGTTCACATCTTATCTTTATTTACCTTAACCTTCCTAGGTTCCTCCTTCTAGACCAGAGGCTTTCAACCTTTTTTTTAAGGAGTGTACCTCTTCTGATGTGTACCCTTCCTGGACTGTACCCCCTGGATGGAGGGGGGCAGTCCCTGGCCGCTGGCTGATGCTTCCCAAGTACCCCTGCTTCTCCGTGCTGTTGCTGCATACCCCCTGGAACCTTCCCAAGTACCCCCAGGGGTACACGTACCCCCCAGTTGACAAACTCTGCTCTAGACAGACTCTAAGACACGTGTCCTGCTCTTGTCTGTACAGGAGTGCAGCCTTTTAGTATAAACAATGGGATATCCTATAGCCAGATGAGGATACCAGCATCATTAGCGTTCTGTGTTTTTCCCGAGTCCTGTGGCATCTTACCCTGATGTACTTGTTGAAAAGCTATTGTTGTAAATTAACTTGCCATCAGATCAGTTTGTGGTTTTTTAAATTTTAAAAGCTGGTCGTAATGAGAGTCAAGGCCATCACTTAAGACAGTTGTTCTCAATCTTTTTAGATTCAAGGCACCTCTTCATAACTTTCCTGATTTTAGTGCCATCATACTTGAGAACCACTGTTGTGCTGTCTCAGCTTACTTCACTGGTTCCCAGCCTGGCTTGCTGTGGCATCCCAGTGCACCAGCACTGCTTCTGCTGCCAGATTAAGTTGACTCATGTGCTGCTGTTTCCAGGAGACAGTGAAGCTGAAGTGGGTGCCTCTGCCTGCCTTGTGTTTACTTGATAAATCTAGTGCAGGTAGGAGTTTCCCCTTCTGCTGTAGCTGCTTCCCAGTTCATCTCTGCACCAAGAATGTGCGCCAGGTTCCCCTGGCTGTAGCAGTGGTGGTGCTGGTGCCACAACACCCCAGGTGAGAAACGCCGGTCTAAGACTCTAGTAAGCGCTGATCACGGTGAAACTGCATTTGAAAATATTTTTTAATCATCAGGATACTTGTATGGATAAATCTAATTGTTGCAGTGTATTTACAGTGGCTTGTAGTCTTATAATAAGTATTGAAACATGTAGTAAGGAAATGAGCCAGTGGGATTTTATTCAATGTGTATCTTTTTTAAAGACTAAATTCAGCCATTAAAATAAGACAATTGGGGAGAAAGTAATCCACACCTTAGGCCAGGGGAGGGCAATTATTTTGGGCGGAGGGCCACTTACTGAGTTTTGGCGAGCCATCGAGGGCCACATGACAGGCAGATAAATAATATTAACTTTCTAAATTTTTTAGGGGCTCCGTGAACCAGATAGAATGGCCTGGGCGGGCCACATCCAGCCTGTGGGCTGCATTTTGCCCTCCCCTACTTTAGGTTGTTTTGTATTATATAGAGGCAATATGTATATAAATGATGCTTCATTGCTTAGCCATTCTTCTCATCCCAGAAATTAAGTACTGACCCTCACCAGAGAAAATGTCAAACATTCTTACTGGTTTACAATATAGAAGAATCTTGTACAAGCCAATGGAATTCTTCATTTCCTACCTCAAAATGTACATCAACTTTTTATATCTTTGCGCGCACATAGGACAGACCATCCTTTGCTCTGACTGCTACTGTAAATATTGGCTTTGTGTTTTTGTTTTGCCGTAAGACGAACTTGCCTCCAGAATACTAAAACCTAACTTTTTTGGTAAGGCATTTGGTTTAGGTTTTCTGTATGTAGGTAACGTAGCATTAATGTAATTATATAAGAGTATATTGTGAACATTTGGCCAAATATAAAAAGTTGACAAATCTCAGCAGTACTTTTAATAACCAGCATGTAATACAAGTAACAACACTACCTCATCCAAATGATTTTAGACTAATTCAATTCTACAATGATACCATGACTTTCTTTTTCAGGGGGACGAATTGTTATTAACATTGCAGAGCGTGCATAAATAGCAAAACTAAAAAGAACTGAAATTTAGGAAAGGAACTACTCCATTACAACTTTCTACGTGGGTTCTACTGCTTGTGGGTATCTTCTCCCTTCAGGTGCTTGAGGAGAAACTCTCTTTTTAAATTACTAGCATTTTATGTAGTTTGTGACTTTTACAATGTTCTTAGCTCATGAGACTCATGGTGTCTCTTTTTCTGCAACCATATAGACTTTGTTAGTGTAATTCCTCTTCTCCCTCTCGCCCTGCAGCCCCAGGACTAGTCGGTTTTGCCACCAGATATGTTTAAATCATGTTTAAATCAAAAACTGTACAGTGCTTATGTAAGATCACTTTCAAAAGTAGGTGATAGTCATGAATGACATAGTACAGTGGGTCAGCAGTGTTTCTCCCATGGCAAACCAGAATGACCCAGTGCAAGTTTTGAGGCAGACCAGTGCTAAGCCCTGGGTGCTACTGCTTTTTTCCCCTGTGTGAGTGAAACTCCCTACTGCCAAAGCCCCCAGCTCTAGACTGGATCCAGTGGCTCTGCAGGCCATAATTTGTTGACAACTACTTGCAACTTCATAGACTCTAAAAACCAAATTTCTGTAGATAAAATGTCTGGGCTATGGGGGGTAAGGGGTATGCAGAGGGGGTGGCCAAGGTCTTAGACATGTCCAGTGCCCTATATCGCCAATTTTCTGGGACATGGGGAGGCTGGTGACCACTATTTGTAAGTCCAGAGGGGAGACAGGCAACTAAAACACAGCGCTTCACTGCTGCAACCTCTTTGCAGGTTGGCATTTGTGAATTCAATCCCACAAACTCCACTGGAAAACCAGTAGCTCTGGCTTTGTGTGAGGTACAGTGAGAGTTGCCCTGTATACTTAAACACTTGCTAATATCAACCTGTTTGTAGAGTTTGAGGTAGGTCTGTGTTTAACCAGCTGTATCTAAATAAATGTAGACTATGTAATACAATAGGCCTTCAGGTTGCATGTGGAATTTTATGTAAGGCTATCACCAGTTTGCAGAATTTAAGAATGGATGGCAATTTTATGCAGGATTCTCAGGTAATTTTTTTTTTTTCAGCTAAACATTCAGTTTTGAACTTGTAAAATACTTTAAGGCATGTTTTAAAATACTTTAAAATCTGTTGGGCAGAATATCTTAAAGCCATAACAGTAAAATGGCATTCAGATTGTAAATTACATAATTACAACAATTGATTTTGTATCTTTCATAATTCAGTATTTTCTAAGAATACAATAAAAACCACTATCCTTTCTAAAAAGGCTTTTTCTTTTTTGTGTACATCGTTTGCAGTATGAAACTATTGTTTACTGATGTTGTATTCCTTTTATATAGTACTACTAAAACTGATCTCTGGAAACCATAGCAAAATTTATTTTATATAGCTTACAAACTCCTAAGAATAAACACACCAGCAAATATTACTGAGTTGGAAGAAAATTCCCAAAAAGTTATTTGATAATTATTGTGCCTGTTATGTGTTTGAGATTTTTATGTTTATGAACTTTCCTCTCTTTGGGGTTGATTCTCTAGGCATTGTGAACATTAATACTTTCTCTTTCAGAAAAACACATTTTGGTCCTTTTAGACAAGTTGGCATTCTACTTTCGAACCTTGTATAGGAACCAGATACCCACTAACAAACTTGAAAAATGGGACATGATTTTTCATTCACAATCAATACATTTTGCATGTTGATACAGTCTTAGTTAATGGTGTATAAGAGAACAGTTTAGCTGAAGCTTGTATCTCCCTATTAATTTAGGAAGTAGTCATTAAAATAAACTTCCACTGGGTTACACTTAAGTACTTTTTGCTTTGAAACATGTAGAATGAGCTTTAATAGTGGAATGCAGGCTGCCCAGATCAGGGTATGTCTTATGCTTCTGGCTTCCTTGTTGCCTGATGTCCCTGTCTGAAAAGCTCTAAACGCTTGCTTGCTTGCTTGCTTGCTTGCTTAAATTTACTGCTAACCAGAATAATTTATAATTAGTGTTGGGGCCAGCTATTCAGTGTCCTGAAAGTCATTTGAAGATGCATTTTCATGAGATTTGAGGATTTTCTTTGCACCCCACTTTGCATATACCTACGTGTTGATGCATAACTCTGCTGACATTCTCTTCCTTTCCTTCTAACTTCTATCTTAAGATGGCTGCTTTCCATACAGAGGAAGGGGTTTTAAAAAAAGGAAAAGTTGGGAATTGGGGAGAAATAAACAGGATGGAAATGTTGACCTCACTGCAGACCGGAATGGTGTAATAAGATCCAAGTTGGAAGCACTGGCAGCTGGGGGTAGCAGTATTACCAAACTACAGCATTAAAAATAATGCATCAGTGCCCTGAAATGTACTAATTGCTTTAAGAAATTAGATCTCTCTCTTTTTTTTTTTTCTTTCTGGGTCTGAATTTTGAGATGTTTTCAACTTTTTTTTTGAGGAGGCTAAAATAAAAATACACATCACAATTACTATAAATGCTTTATTTTTAATGACACACAATAAAACAGTTGGTGGTGATATTGGTGAGAGTTGGGTGCAAATGTACGTCTGAAAAATACATAGGAAAGATTGGAGCCTCAGCATTACGTGCTGGAGAGGAGCATTGTAAAAAGCTTACTTGTCCAGAGTCTGGTGGATGAACAGGATGGACCAGGACATACAGGTGGGCATTACAATCAGACCTCTACTATGAAGTACTTCAAAGGATGAGTATGCTTCTCTGAAGCTTCATAAAAGGTATTGTGGAAATAACCAGAGCCTCCATTATGCTCCGTATCAAATCACAGCAGCCTTTGTCACAAAGACTCCAAGGTACATGGGGAGGCCTTGAGTAGCATTTTGGTCCCTTCCTTGTTATCGAAGTATCCAAATATGGCAATCTACACAGCCTTTTTTTTTAAAAATCATTTAACTCAAAAATGCCATCTAAATGCAGGTTAAAGTTCTGTCCCTGGGTGCATAGCTCCATGGACATGGATGACTACAAAAATATGTGGACTGGGCATACACAGTAATAGTGGTAGAGACCCATGTTATGTACCCCTTGTGGACCCAGAGCACACTTAAACACCAGAAAATGGATTTAGACACAAAAACAAGCGAGTTGGTTTTTATCTTTTTCCTTCATTACAGAGTAGCTCTAGAAGGAAAAAGATAAAGTTAGAGGTTCTAGGTTCTGGGTTCTAGCTCCCCCTCAACTAGACAGGGTTTGAATTTGTGTGCATCAGTGTGCTGTTAGGAAGTCAAACCACCACTCAGCCATTATCCAGTCTCTTCTCTCGCTTTCATTTTGAAAGTTAGTCACTGATGCACCCTTTGGCCATGTCTACATGAGCATGGACATTTGGCTCCCTGAGGCTAACAAGCAGCAGTGCACCTTGTGCAGCCACTAGTTGTTCCTGGGGAACACCTGTGCCGTGTGCCCTGTTGGTGTGCAGCAGGTTACCCCAGTTGGGGTAGGGGAGGCTGGAGCCAGCACTGGGCTGACCACAGCACCCTTACCTGGGGGCAGCTGTGATCCTGCTGCTCAGTGCCTGGTTGGCAGCCAGAGCATGGCTTTGGCCAGCCAGATAGCAGGTTTGAGTGATGTATGCTGCCCCTGCATGTGCCACTCTGTTTTTGTGTGTGTGTGTGGGTGGGTGGTATATGAATTAGTAATCCACGTATGTATTGGATGTGCAGGTGTTGGTAACTGATTCTGTCTAAATTTGGTGTGTGTAGTGTGTATGGGCTTAAACTGGTGATAGGTGTGCATGAACC